CTCAGGGGAACAGGGACTCCCCCAGTGCCTGTTGATCCCCTCTGACTAGTTTATAGCAGGCCACAAGATCCCCCCTCAGCCTTCTCTTCTGGAGGCTGAACAGGTTCAGGTCCCGTAACCTTTCCTCATAGGACCTTCCCTGCTGTCCCTTGATCATGCGAGTGGCCCTCCTCTGGACCCTCTCGATGCTGTCCACATCCCTCTTAAAGTGCGGCTCCCAGAACTGGACGCAGTACTCCAGCTGCGGCCTGACCAGTGCCGCATAGAGGGGGAGGATCACCTCCTTGGTCCTGCTTGAAATGCATCTGTGGATGCACGACAAGGTACAGTTGGCCTTCCTAGCCACCTCCCCACACTGCCGAGCCATGTTCATCTTGGAGTCAATAATGACTCCAAGATCCTTTTCCACCTCCGTGTTGACAAGAGGGGAGTTCCCCAGCCTGTAGGTATGGTGCTGGTTGTTCCTCCCCAGGTGCATCACCTTGCACTTGTCTGTGTTGAACCCCATCCTGTTCTCCTCCGCCCATCCTTGTAACCTGTCAAGGTCCGACTGTAGCCTGTTGCTCCCTTCTATTGTGCCCACATCCCCCCACATCTTGGTATCATCAGCAAATTTGAACAGGGTGCTTTGCACCCCCTCATCCAAATCACTGATGAAGATGTTGAACAGGGTGGGCCCAAGGACCGAGCCATGCGGGACCCCACTGCCCACGTCCTTCCAGGCTGAGAAGGACCCATCCACTACCACCCTCTGGGTGCGGCTCTCTAGCCAGTTGGCGACCCATTGGACTGTGTGGGTGTCTATGACACAGTCCCCCACTTGGTCACATGAAGGTATTTTGGCCTTCTCCCACTTAACTGGCGTTCTCCCACTTGGCATTCTCCCACTTAAACTGATGCTTGGTTACCTCCCACTGTCTGGACAGCACTGCTGTGTACTCTGCTGTAGTGATAATACCATCTGTACTCCATTGATTATAGCAAAGAAGCTAAGAGCAACAATCCACTTGTGCCCACTAATGGCACAATCTATGTTAATGACTGGGGCTATTAGTTCCTTAACTACAGAGAGTAGTTGGAACAATGAAAAGAATTGTTCTGGGTGTGATATCTAAGGCTTGAATGGTAGGGATAAGTAGGCTTTTTTTCCTATGGTCATTTAGTTAGATTTTCACCAATATCCAAGTGTACCAGTTCGGTTAGTTTTAAGACAGTTTTATCAAGACAGCTCATTTAGAGTGACATGCTATTCTTTCCTGGTCATCTAAGTGGCGTATTTTGGTTCTCTAGAGGTTATTATAAGTGCTTACACATCCAGGGAAAGTCTGTTGCTGGATGTGTACTCCTGTGTGTGTGAAGGACTATGTGGCTGCATCAGCTGAGTAGTGTTGTAGTCTCTACACATGCCCCTTGTGGACATGGAGCAGACTTAGATGCTTGAAAATGGAATTGTGCAGAACCTGTGACTACTGACTTTAGTCCCCAGAGCAGAAAGGATCCTGTGTATGTACCTTCCATAGCTCAGTGGCTATGCACTCACCTGCAATGTGGGAGGCCTCCTTTAAGCCAGAGGAAGTCTGAATTGGTGCCTGTTTTGCTTCCTAGCCCAGCATGCTTACCATGGGTCAGGCTAGGGCACTCCCTTGGGATGCTGTGGGGATTTGCACTAGTGCCTCTTTTTCTTCCCAGGACAGCACTCTAACCAGCACAGCACAGATCAGCCACCACTTACTGCCTTCTCCACTGCTCCTTTTGTAGCTGAGCCATTAAGGAAGTCCTTGGAAAAAATGGATGGGGGGGGCAGTGTAGGGATGGGGGACTTCTGTCCCACTTGGTAGACAGGCCCTGGCTAAAATCCAGGGCCTTCTTTTCTCTTGTTCTGAAGCCACCTGACTGAGCTCCACAGCCTGTGGCTTGCTCCTTTCTTTCTGGCCCTACATATCTCCCAGAAACATTTGTCTCATGGCTGCTTAGGGAGGCAGCTTCAAAAGAAGCATCAGAAAAAGCACTGGGTGATGGCTGATCTGGTGTGGTGGTCAGAGTGATGCGAAGTTATAGAAACCCAGAGACAAAATCCTTTTGGGTGAGAGAGACCTAGAATCCAGGGCCATTGGTCTTCCAGGTGAGTGGATGAGTCACTTAGCTACTGGGGGGGAAATATGGAGGTGTCTCCCCCTCCTTCCCCATGTGCCAGGCTATACACCCAGGAATATAATTATTCTGGAGGTGTAAATACCAGAAATGCTCCATAGATGACTAAGATATGGCCACTTCGGTGACCAGAAAACAATAGAATGCCACCCTTAATTCTGGTATGTCCAGTGCCACCACTGGGCATTACCTTCAAGCAGAGGTGTAACAAGTCAGCTGGCAGACTGGGCAGCTGGGACAACTTTCAGCTGCCACCAAACCAATCATGAGCCTATTTTTTCACCTCCCACCCAAGTTGGGCACAGGGCTGCTGCCCCAGGTGCCATACCTTAGTTATACTACCAGCCTTCACTGATTGCTCACTTCTCCTGCTACTCCACTTATTTATTCCTTTCCCCTTCCCTCCATCCAGCACAACTATTTCTAAGAGACATTTTAAAAGTGGCCTACATAGCTTTTTCTACATGAGGTTATTTGATTTGTGACATGGTGTTTCCTGTGGTTTTGTAGGTTGGAAATATGCTTATGAGGCATTATTTGCATTTCTTTGTCAGATCCCTCAGTTCCACTTCTGCGATGGCGACTCACTGCAGTTATTCTTGGGATCCTCTGCTTGATTTTATTGGTAGCAACTGGAGTTCTGGGTATCAAGGGTAAGTTTAAGAGAGACAGGTCCCTGTGAATCTGATAGGAGTTATATCGGTGTTATGGAGGGCAGGCACTGTTTTCTGGTGGTTCAAGGAGGAGAATGAAATACTGTATTACTTGCAGGATATCGTTACAATATTAGGTTTCTCTGTGGGCTGTATGCAGTTCAAAGCAGGGTGTGGGACTGGGTCAATGAGAAAGACAAACATGAGCGGTGTGGAGTGTCTTTGTAGTGGCTTTCTTTAGTAAATGCCTCCTTGTTCAAGACGAACTGTGACTCCACGACAGAGACTGGTAGCCAGAAAAGAACTCGATGTTGGGTACTATGTAACCCAGATCCCTAGGCCCCAAGTCCTCCCTTTGATTTGGGGGAATGAAAATTGTAAAGGAAAATATTGGATTTTCAGTGCAAAAACGAAATTCAAACTGAGCTGAAGCAAAATGGCCAGATGTAAGAGGGGGACCCAGGTTGGGGAGTAAGGGAAAGGGAGAAGAAGAGAGTGTGGGCATGGGGCCAGGAGGCTTCAGCGTTACAGTGACACCTGTGATGCATGGGTGTGACTTTGGGGGTGGCTGGACATCACAAATTTAGCCCTTAAGGCATGTAGGGCTGGAGAGTGAATACTGAGAGCACCTAGGTTCACCCGTCTGAGAGTACAGCCTCTTCTCCTTACTGTAGCAATAAGGTGGGGTGGGTGAGAAGAAATAGGGTAAGGCCCTGGGAGGCTGGAGTGGGAGCATGACAGGATAGGGGTGGCCAACAAGGGGGTGTGACGGTAACTCCAGGAGCTTTGCCTGTGACACCAATAAAGTAGAAAAGAGCCAAGGTTCTGGTGTCTACACAAGCAGCGCCATGCTAAGATGGAGAAAATATAGACATCCCCCACACACCCTGCTGGAACAATTTCTATCTAAACTGGGTAAGTTCAGTTTGGGGCCTGTTAGTTGGAGTCCTTTGCTATGGGACATCCTTGCTCACAGACATTTGGGAGGACCCACCCCACGGTGATGAGTCTGGCTTTGTCCTGTAATCTTAGCCATGACTTCACTTCACTGTACATTTTTTTTTCTTTTTCACCCATGAAAAAAATTTAATTTTGAATCAGTTTGACGTTAACCTGCAGAAAGCAGGGCAGGGGTTGGGGAAGGGCACACATAGTGCCTGAGTGGAGTTGTGCATTTGCCATCTGTGCCCTTTGCAGGTGTCCTGGTGGGACTACATCTCTCAGGATGATCAATCACATGAGTCAGATGGCTGAGTGCGATGCATCCTGAGAGGTATAGTCTGGGCAGGTCTTCCCTGACAGGCAGACAAGGAAGGCAGCAAGTATATGAACAGCGACGTGCAGGAGGTCTCATGACCCCTTCAGTGGTAGTGTATTTAGGTGTGGGCAAGTGGGGCACAAGCCCCAGATGCTGACTAAGGGATGGAGGGCAGCAGAATGGAGGTTGGGGGCTTGAGGCTCTCCTTGTGGGGAGTGGCAGTAGGAGTCAACACAGGGGTGGGCAATTCTTTGGGCTGGAGGGCCACTTAGGCAGTTTTGGTGAGCTGTTGAGGGTGGTGGGGGTGGTGCTGACCAAGACTCAGCCTCCTGTCACAGCTGTTTCCTCTCCCTGGCATGGCGGGGGAAGAGGGGATGGTGGGGAGATGCCAACTGATCCTATCTGGCCTTGGGTCCATCTGCCTTGCAGTCTCTGCTGGGGGTGCTGGACTGAGCAGGCAGGTGGGGTCTCCATGGGCCCCCGCATGCAGGGCACGCTTGTCCAGGTGGACAGGATGGGGCTGCAGGTGGACAGGGAATGGCATTGGGGAGTGGGATGCGGTCCCACTGGGCCAGAGCTTGGATCACGAGGTGGTGACAATGTGGGGCTGGAGCCAGGGGCAGAGCCATGAGCCACTCACCACACATCCCTGGTTGGGGGCTGGAGGGGAGGGCACCAAAAAACAAGTTGTCCCAGGGTGCCTTTTCCCCTAAGGCTGGTTCTCCCTGCAACCACTTTTCTTGCTGCCCAATTCAGCATTTCCCATCACCACTTGGGAAGGGATTCTGCAGTGGCAGCTGCAGTAGGGGGAAGGCATTAGAGGGTTCATACATCCAGCACCTTCTGCATTAACCCTGGAGCTGCTGGCCTTGCCAACATCTCCTTCTCAGCAGCAGCTTTCTCTCTCATAGCTGGCCAGGGGCACAAACTTTACCAATTACTCTTCTGAGTTTAAGGCCAAACTGACTTGACAGATACCAATTCAGTTCAGTTCAACAAACCAAAGTGTTCTGATCTTCCATATGCAAAAACTTGAAACTGAAATTTCTTCATAGAAGATGCTAGTTTTGCAGAAATTGCATTTGCTGTTAAGAAATAATTTTGGCACAAAATCCCTGGCTGGGTCTAACTCTTTCCATTGCACGAGCTGGGAAGAAGCCTTGTCACTGTTGCAGCCTGCTCTGGGTCATGCTGGACAGAAGCGGTGACACTGTTCTGGAAGCAGTAACAGCTTTCATGTAACAGCTACCTTGTGGTTTCCAGTACTCCCTCCACAGTTGCTTCAGCTCTTTAGCAGATGCTGTGCAATGAGTGTGGTCTTCTGTAGCCAGACTACTTTGGATTTGTGTGACTAGAGCTGGGCAGGGATCACATTTCTCTTCTGCAAAGAAAAAAATAATTGTGCTTTTGGAAATATTTTCATTCCTAATCAGAACAAAAAGTCAAAACCTTGATATTTTTCTGGAGAAATGAAATACCTCTGTGGCTTATTATTTAGAAGGCAGAGCAGCTATAGCTCTGTCGCAGCCCCCAAGGCAATCCTGGAAGCTCGTGCAGCTGTAGCTCTAATACCTTAAAGGAGAAAACATCTAAGGAGTCAGGAAGTCTGGGCTACATGTTAGACCTTCATATGGAAAGCTGGGAAGGTAGGGGGAAAGGTGAGCTGGTGGCAAATCATTTACAAGGGCTCAATCTGTAAAAATCATTGCATTCTTGGTGGAAAATGGCTCCATCAAATCATACTAGTGGAGCTAGGGCTTGTGTGTCACCATGATACAGAAAACATTATGGCTACCAAATTCTGCTAAGCCTGTATTACAACAGACACTATTGAGCTGTTCTGATGTTCCAGTCATGGAGCTGAGCCAAGAGAAGAAAGACCCCACCCAGTGTCTGAAGTCCTGCCCAGACCCAAACAGAAGCGTTCCAGGATTGCCACTGGATCAACCTCCTGACAAAGGTAAACTCTGGGAAGGGAGAGGCCCAAAAGTTCATGTGGGGCTGCCCTGGCCCTGCAAAGTGCCATTTCCCTTCCTAAAAATGTGTGGGCCTGGGGTATGGGATCCCCATGGAGTTGCTGCCAAAAGGTCCAAAAAATGCTCAGAAAAGGCATAAATGAAAGATTGCAGTCTCCTGGTCTGATCCTTCATTTCAAAATTAAAGATGACTAGCCAAAAAGGAGAAAAATAGTCCAAATCAAATGGAAAGGCTTCAGACTACACGAACGAAATGTTCAATTGATGAAAACACAGAATAAACTGGGTTTGTGATTTTAATGAGTTTTTTAGGATTTTGCCTTTTGTCTGAATTTAGGACAGGAAAATGTTTTGACTTGCAAGAAGCTTTGAGGAGAGGAAAAACATTTTCCCCAGGGATCATGACCTGTGTCCCTCTTTGGGACTGGTGCGTCACAATCAGGGTTTGGTGCTCTTATTTTTACCCACCTTCCCTGCTAGAGATGAGCTTTCCCCTCCCTAGCTCCATCTTGGCTCAAGGGATTGGTCTGGCCTCAGCCAGGATGGTGGTGGCTTTTTGGCTGGTTTGTCTTGTCCCACAGAGAGCCAGAGAAGCCAGCTCCTGCTGTTCTCGCATGGCAGCAGCTGCCGCTTCTGGAAGTGAAAGGACCATCCCCATTTTGATATATGGGGCAGGACCTCCCCTCACCGTAGGGCCCATGAAACATAAGCCGTGTCACTGGAGGAACATGGTGGGTGTGAAATTCCCTCATTCCTGATGGCAATGTCCCCAGCATGGGAGCAATCAGGGAGAGAGGTGACCTGATGCGGTGTATGTTTTTCCAGAGAAGTGTCCAGTGCGGTGGAGTCACAAAGAGAAAAGATCCTACCTCTTTTCCTCTGAAAACAGACCTTGGGCACAGTGTAATTCCTTCTGCAGTTCTCACTCCGCCAGCCTACTCAAGATTGACAGCCGAGACGAGCTGGTGAGCCCATGTTACTTTTGACATAATATCTGGTGAGTGAATGGAGTCAGCTGGGAGTCAGGTCCTGGGGCTGGGTTTCTGCAGCCAAGTGCTGACCTGGTGTTGCCAAGAGTGGGCTTCTGAGTACTGGGGGGCCTGTGAATGGGCAAAGCACGTTGGAGGTCCCTCTGATTGTGTAGGAATGAGGGGGTAGTTTGCACAGGTATAGGCTTAATTGTATATCTGCATTTTGTGTTTCTCTTTAGCTGTGCATGTGTGACAGTTACTACAGTGTTACCTGCAGGGTGTTTGAGATCACACATGGCTGTACTGGCACAGGACCTTAGGCAGGTACATGGTACCAGGGCTGTCTGCAGAGATAATCTCTACACAGATGTCTATGGTGATGCTGCATAGGGAACTCCTGGCACCCGGCAGGTGTGGTCATGCACCTGAGAGATCTCGCTTTCTCTCCCATTTAATCAGGATTTCACCAAGAAGGAGTCATTTGAGTATTCTGAAGAACGTGGAAGTGCTACGTACTACTACCCATTCTGGACTGGATTGTCGTACAACTCTGAAACAAAGACATGGGTCTGGGCGGATGGCACAGGTGTCTCCCCTGGCCTGTAAGTCTGTGCTAACTAGGGTGTCCACAACTCTGCACCAAAATGCAGCAAAAGCCACTGAGTGAGTTTCATCATGGGACTGAGGGTCTCAGACAGGTCCGTTAAACACAGTTATGAACTTTGTAATAGACTCAGTGAGTGCCAGGCCCCAGCAGGAAGCACACGTCTGAACTGGCCCCAGGTGTTTGAAAGGCTGTAGTTGTGTGCTGGATCTCTTGTGAAATAAATTTGGCCTGAGGGCTCAAGGATGGTGGTGAAGAAAGGCAGAGTCACTCTCCTCTGTCTTGTGGCCTGCATCCAGGCACATTGACCAGCTAGTTGGCTGAGGACAGCATGTGTGGATAAGGCACGTGTCCATTAGCTTGTGAGGGACCTTCTCGAGAGCTCACCTTATACAGCATGAGGGCCCCATCCCACCAGAACAGCATAGGAAGTGCCACACTGGGTCAGAGCAATGGTGCATCTAGCTCAGTATCCTTGTCTCTGAGAGTGGCAGACGTGGATGCTAGACAGGGAGGGCACTGAACCAGATATCTCTGGAGGGGTTTATCTTCTATCCAATATCCTCCCTGCCATCCACCATTCCTTATGTTGGACATGCCAGAGGAAACATCTCCAGAGATGCCAGAGGGAATATCATGAAACATCATTAGCTGTACCCTGGCTACATGTGTTAGGCTCATAAGGAGCAGAGTTTATGCCCTGGGCAAACTCTGTGGGAGAGTGGTGGTGGAGGTGTACGGGAGCCTTACCCATGATATGGACTCAAAAACAGTCCCCGGATGTGGTGGTTGTGGCTGCTGCTGGCACTGCAGTATGGTCTGCCTGCCTCAATTGTTGCTCTTACAGCAAAACCAGAGTGTCTAAGTCTAACTGCTGTTGCTGCAAGAGCAACACCATGGGGCTGCTCTTGTGGCCAGGGCATGGGCTCCAGTGAGGTAGAGGGTGATTCTGACTCACCTCCTGAGGTGTCTTCCAGGGCTGGTGCCCTGTTCACCCACCCTGAGTAACACATCCCAGTAGTGTGGGTTATACAACATCTTCAGCAGTATCCGTGTGAAGCCTAGTGACTGACTAGGCTTATGAGTCCAACAGCACAGAGCTAGAATAGTCATGACAGCTGCTCACTACCCTAAAATCACTTTCTCTCCATAAAACTGTCCATGTTAAAGGCCATTCCCATGTCTCTTGTAGACTGACTCAGCACAAACAATAGCAGCCATTTGAGATCGCTCGAAGGTTGGTAGTGTTAGATCTATGGGGCCCCTGGGGTCAGTGAGAGGAGAGGCGTCTGGTGCATTATGAGTGCAGTATACACGGGAGAGCCACGAGATACAGGAATTTATCTCACGGATAGTGTCTGCGCTTGTGCAGTCTGTGGATGGTATGTGGGAGCATGGGGCCTGGAGACACCTCTGGGAAGAGGATTTAGTTGTAGGAAAAGGAGGACAAATACCTCCATTCTGTGCGTTTGATTCCAGGAGGAGTTTCTGGAGCGTTAAAGTTTTCCTTTAGTGAAGTTTGGTCCAGACATAAGGTGGATCCCACCTGCCTTTGTACTATGTGCTATGACAGTGCAGGAGTCATGTGTGGAGAGATTCTCTTCTGACACATTTAGCCTTGAGCATCTCTGACCTTCCTTCTGTTAGACGGTTGCCTCAGGGTCCCCAGTTGTCAGTACAACCAGGGCAGAGCACTCCTGGTCCTGTGTCATGGTGCGCTGAGCTCAGGGGGATGGACCTGAACTGTAAACTGTGATTTTTTCATTCCAGGATTAATGCCCTGGTCCCCAGTCATGGAAATGATGCAGGTGGCACTTGTGTGTATGTCCAAGGTGCGGCGTTTAAGCTAGACAGGTGTGAAGAAACTCGATTCTGCATCTGTGAGAAGATGAAAAGTGCAGGAACAAACTAAGTGCATTGACCCAGAGACAGGTGAGGCAATGGGAGCTGATGGGGGAGATGGCTGTAGCAGAATGGGGAGTGTGTGGCTGTGGAAATGAAATGGCCCCACCAGAAAACAACCTGGGTTCTTGTGCTGCCATTTGCAGGGGCAACAGTAGAGAGCTGAAGTCCCTCATGGGCCTTGGGACTAACAGCCTGGGACACTCTGGGATGTTGCATAGACACAGGCAAACCTCAACTCTTTCATTTCATGCATGTGTAATTTGACACAATCTCTGTCCCCAACAGCCCACCTGCAACTGTTGGAGCCAGCAGAGACGGGATACTTGTGCTTCTGTCACATCTTATTTTCTAGGCTATGTGATGGGTTTGTGGTTTGTTGGCAACCACATGAGCAGCAGCCAGTGGTCTGTAGGGCTGTATCACAGGCCCAAGGAAGAAATCTGTAATCCCCAGTGTCTGCTCTGCCCAACACAGATGTCTCCCATTTTATACAGGGAACAATCTGTTCTTGCCAAACTGCAGAAGCTGTGAGGCCTGGGCTTTCCAGAGGTGCCCTCGGGATACTTCATATCACCTATCTGCTACAGGAATTTGCTTCTGAAAATAAACATCTCCTCCACCCCTTCATTTCTCTACATGACTAATAGGGTGTGCGTGCCTTGGCCGGTCTGATGGGAGAAGAAGTGGTCCATGCTCCAAAGGGACCTGTTGGGTGTTCTCTGGCCAGGAGTGCCATTGGAAAGGGGATTGGGGCACTTGCTGACAGTGACTGCCTGTAGCCTGTGTCATCCTTGTGCCCCCATTGGGCCTAGGTACGGCATATCACTGAAATAACAACACTGACCAGATCTTCTGGGTAGGGGCCACCTCTGATCCCATGTACTGTGCATTGTGGCAGAGGGAGTTCCTGATGAGCCCTGCACGTGGGGTTACAGGTAAGAGAGTTGGAAGCTGAAGCAAAAGGGTGCCAATAGGCTCAGCTCAGCCGGAGTGGGGCATGGGATAGAACTACGAGTGGATTGTTTCGGGGGGCGTGGGGATGGGGGAAGGGCAGCTCCCACTGCTGTGCACGCTCCAGGGCAAGCCTGGATGGGGTGTGTGCCGCTTGGATCTGTGCCCGGGGCAAGGGTGGGCTGCCGCTGTGGGCTTTGTCTCAGGTGCTAAACTTCATTGCTATGACACTGCCTGCTCTGACAGGGGTTGGATGCCAGTCACACACTGTCCCTCCTGCAGCATCCAAGGGGAGTTCCTGGGACACTGCTGGTGACACTGTGCTGAGGTGAAGAAGAGACTCTAAAAACATCAAGTCAAAGACCTGGGCCCAGTGACACTAATAGGGATGGTTACATTTAGGCTCCAGACATGAATTCAGGCCTCTCAAGCCCCGGGGACGTTTGAAAGGAGCCAGCAGCTGGGTGCCCTGTCAATCCTACCTGGCACTGCAGGATTCTGAGTCCTTTTGCCAGTGGTTCCCTGTTATCCAGGCAACCTTGTGGGGATTCAGGGCATGGGTTTTCAGGTCAGCCCAAGGGAATGAGGACCACATATGTCACTGGAAGACCATGAAACAAAAAGTCTGTTCCAGTCAATAACAGATCCTGCCCAAGGGGTTTGACGTGCTGGTATGGTCATTTCATAAACAGAGCTTGACTCATAGCAGCATCTGTGTCGTACATGGTAGTGTCCAGAATCTGCACCATTGTCACCACCCCCCTGGTCTGGGCAGCAGCCCCCCAGGCCCACCCCTTTGCAGTCACACACCCAGTGCAGGTCCCTTCTCTGTGCACGCTGTGTTCAGGAGCATCACATCTCAGAGCAACCTTCCTGCTGTAAGGGGTGTCTGGGGCACAGGCAGTCAGTTTGAGAGGATGGTGTTTGGTCAGGGATTTAGAGGAGTAGAAGCCAAGTTCAAGGCCAGGCATCAGTCCTAGTTCAGGATAGGAAGCTGAGGAGAGAGATGAGGTCATGGCCAAGGCAAGAAATGTCCATGAAGGAACAGGAGCAGCTGGGAACAGGAGACACAGGTACTGGCAGTGTGGTCCATGCTTGAGGTTCAGAGCATGGTGACAATTTTAGACGTCCCACAGTGTCCAGGGACCTGGCAAAGTGTTCCGTTTCCCAGAAAGCTCTGTGGCTGGGATGGGGTATGAGAATACTGGATAAGTGTCTGTACTTTCACCACACCCCAGCCCTCAATTATTTTCTTGACTACCAAAAAACAACAGAGCATTTCTGCTGTTGCAAAGAATGCAGGAAAACCACAACAGAACATTCTTCATACCATGCAGTTCTTTTTGAAATCTTTGGGCCTGTCCACACATGCAAGCATGTGTGCTTGCAACAACTTAAATATCAGTGGCACAAATTTGCTTGAACATGCACTTTTTTGTGGGGCAAAATTGTGCTGTCCTAAGTTCAGGACTTGGAGCAAACTGAGCCTGCCCTGCTCCTCCCAGATCTGCAGCCAGGGGTAGCTAGAGGGTGAGTCCAAGTTACCCTGGTGAGCAGCCAAAGGCTACTCACTTTCAGGAGTTTCTGGGAAGGTGCCTCTGGAAGGAAATTGGCCATGCCCCTTCCTATTCCAGCCTACTATTGCTTCTGCTGCTGCTGGGTGCTTCTGTCTTAGTCTCAGGAGTTTCTGGGGAGAAGATGGCTACGCCCCTTCCTGCCTCTGCTAATGCTGGTGCTGCTGTTTCTAGCTGCTGCTGGCTTGCTCTCAGGAGCTTTTGTGGGGAAGTTAGCTGTGCCCCTTCCTGCCTTGGGCTGCTGTTGTGACTCTTGCCAGCACCCCCCCACGGGGTAGTGGAGGGGGGTGTGTGCGTCCTTTGCTGCATGCTGCTGCCAGGGAGGGGCCCACTGCACTGCACCACACCCCAGCACTGCACCCCAGCTTCTGCATTCCTGTTCTAGCCTGCTGCCCAGCCTGCCGCCAAGCCGTAGTCAGGGGACAGCCTAGGGAGGGGACCTGGGCTGCCTGTGTGTCCTTCTCCCACCATCACTACTGGTGCCTAAAGGTGCCTTGCCTGCCCCATCTGCTTCTGCAGGCCACTCCCCCCCGCATCCCAACTTCACCTTCTCTTTCACCTTTACCTGAAACATGCCTTGAGTGGCTAACCTGGATGGCTGCTTCCGCTGCTGCTGTTGACTGCCTGTACTGCTGCTGCTCCCTCTCAGGATTCCCTGCTGCACCACTTTGCACTACCCTACACCACACCTGCACTGGACTACTTCCCTAATTTCCTGCCTGCTCCTGCACTCCCCGACAGCTGCCTCACTGCATCTGATCCTGTGCTTTCTTTTTCCTTTTGCTGCTCTGCTGCTGAGTGTCTGGCTGGAGATCTAAGGGGCTCCTGGACTGAGCTTCAACAAACAAAAGCCCCTCCACTGCTCCAGCCATCTTTCTACACCTGCCTCAGGAGCCTTTCCTGTGTGGTTTGCCCTTATGTGGTAAGTCCTGTGGTCCACTCCCCCTGCACTGGTGTTTGTTGTGTGGTTGAGTAAGCCAGCTTGAATCTCCCTAGCCCTTGTGTGTGTGTGTGTGTGTGTCCCCTGCCTCCACACCTTCCCCAGGCATAGCACACCAGGTTTCCTGTGAGGCTGTAGCTTGGTGCGCTTCATTCCCCTTTTCCCTCCCCTCACACTTCCTCCACAGCCCCAGCCTGCCCCTATTGGAATCACTAGCCATGCTGGGTTTTTTTTGCATTTTTCTTTATTGGTTTCCTGCTCCTGTATTTGGAGCAATGGCAGGGCAGGAGCCTTCAGGGGGGCAGATGCCCCCACAGAACTTTCTGTGGTCTTCACTATGGGGGAAGATTCCAGCCAGGCTCCCGAGGGGCTGCATGTCCCTATAACCCCCACCCTGGTGGCAGAGTCCAAATGATCCCCTCCAGAGGTAGACATGTGTGCAACCCCAGCTGTGGGGGCAAGCGGGACTCTAGAGGGAAGCCAGTAGGGCCTGGAGGTCTCCTCTGGCCACGTCACCCAGTAGGGGTTCCCAAGCCCCCATCCCCACCATCAGGGACTCAGGGCAAGGGCAGTAGGAAGGGCTCCTCTTCAGCCTCCTCTACAGCTGGGGGTGAGAAAGGCAATGGCCCTGCCCCCAAGCCCAGACCATGGGCACCTGAGTGGACCAGGTGCACCAGCCAGCACACCCACTCAGCCTGTCCATGGCCCTAGCCTGGCCCCACCTATGCAGCCCCCACAGTGGGGGAACTGCAGCTATTCACAGGCAATGTGGGGCAATCCACAACTGTGGGGCCTGGACCCTCCACTGCTGGCCAGCCTGGGTGGAGGGGCACCCTTTCTGGCATTCACTCACAAGTATTGGGTGAAGTGCCAACTACCCAAGTGGGAGGACCTGCACTTTGAGACCTGGGTGCAGGTGCTGGCTTGGGTGGTGGGGGTCCCCAAGATCATGGCAGCCTCCCACATTCATGGCAAGGGTTTTTTTTCCTTGCCTTGGAGAGTGGAGAGGGGGCTTGTGGTAGAGGGCAAGTACATACAAGATGATAATAGGGAAGAGAGTTGTGCAGCTTGGAGTGAACTGACTGCTAGTGAAAGCATGCACCCTGTGACAGCCAGAATCAGAGGAAGTAATAAGCAATAAATATGTGCTTCTTGGAGGCATTCAGTATTTTGCCTAATAGGCAATATTAGCTAATATAAAGCTTGTAAGTTTGTAACCCGCAAATGTAACTTGTCTGTCATAAGTTTAACCAAAATGATAAAACTAACTGTTCGTGGAACTGATTGGGCCCCAAAGGCGAAGCTGTAGCTGCAAGATTAGGTGACCTAACGGTTTTTTGCTCAGGGTTCAGCCTTGATGATAAAAACTGGATCCAACCTCCTGGCACACCCAACACATTCCTGGAAAGCACGTCTCAAGAAAGCATATTCAGAAAAACTTAAAAGGGTTGAGTTTAGTAATGTTAATTTCAAACCTAAAAATGCTGCATTGTAATTTGCTTATTGGATAACCCTGAGTCTGGGTAGTAACCTTTTATGATAATTTTTAACACCTTTCAATCCCATAGGGTAATAGCTATAGGGAAAAATTGTGAGTGGCTCTAAAGCCAAAAGATTAGCATAAGACTAGGTATAAAAAGCACGTGTGTCAGGTGACCAGCAGGAAGGAGGGAACAGAATGGTTATTGCTGTTCCAAGCCCGGACTCCAGACTCTGGGTGTGAGTGAGGATCGGATCCTGATCAAGGGATGTTCCCCGGTAATCCCTCCGACAGCATAGATCGGGGACACCTGACTTTGCTGGAAACATTTGGTGCGCACCTAGCATCGAGGGACTATTGATAAGTTGCCAACCCATGTCTGTCTATTTGTTGTTTTAAACAGCCCAGTGGCTGATACCCTCGCAGTGCCCAGTTGGCCTGCGACAGATTGATCCATCTGTCTGTTGTTATTATCTGTTATTATTTACTATTAGCTCTTTAATACTGCATTATCTGCTTATCACATTTATTTTTCTGTTAACTGTTGTTTGTGTAAGCTGTAATAAATTTGCCTTTGATTCACTCCCAACTCTGCCTCCTCGATCCCGAACCAAACAGCCCAGTGGCTGATACAGTTGCAGCACCCAGTCAGCCTGCAACTAAATTGATAC